GTCACTGTAGGGCTTTTGCTTTGCTGACTTATGAAACCAAAAATTAGTTCTCTCCATGTTTGTACTTTTTTTTTTTTTTTTTTTTTGAGAGAGAGTCATGTGCATCCTAGGCTGGCCTCAAATTTGCTGTGTGGCAAGGATGCTCTTGAACTTCTGACCCTCTTGCCTCTTTCTGCTCTTTTTTTATGAAGCCACATTAGTCTACACATCAAACTTTTCAGTGAATGTCAAGCATGGTGCTTTGTGTTTGTCAGGCACTGCTCCTGCTACTGTGACAAAAGCAGACTGGGTCTGTGGCTCTTGTGCCTCCTCTTGAGACTTTTATCTTTCTTCTTTGATATGGTTTTTTGCTTTATCTTATTTTATTTTGTTATATTTGATTGTTATCTCTTAAAAGCCTGTTCCTTTCTAATCAAAGACAGAAAGCATGTGGATATGGAGGGGAGGGAAACTGGGGAGGAACCAGAAATAGGAAGAGGGGAAATTATAATCAGAATATGTTGTATGAGAAAAGAATTTATTTTCAATGTAAAGGGGAAGATGAAGAAAAGACATAGTATTCCGGAAGGGCTTTTGGGTTGGTTTTGGCTCACACTGGAAGGTACAGTCCACCATAGTGGAAAGTTGGAGCCCTCCTGAGAGGACTTACACAGGTAAAAGAAGAAATAAAAGGAAGAACGAACAAAAGATGGATAAGAACAAAGAAGGGAGGGTGCAGTGCTAGGCAGCCACTAAAATGTTGGAACAGGTAGGAACTAGAGAGAGGCAATTTTAAGTTAGTGTTTTGAAAGAGAGCTTTGAGGTAAGTATGACCCAGAGAGAGGGAGCTGAAAGCGATTTTGGGAAAACTCGGGAGTGAGACGGAGGCCACCGCCACCTCAGGGTGTCTTGAGCTGTGGTTAGGAGGTGTGCCCTTGGTTTCTAGGGAAGGGGCGGTGAATTTGGCTACTTGGAAAATTCATTTAAAAGTATGAGAAGACTAAGGTGTGGGTATACAGCCTTAGGACCTGAGTATGTTGCCATTTTTGCTTTCAATTTAACTGCTTTCATACTACTTTTAAAAGGCGGGGGGTGGGGGGGTGTGAAACAGCGCTCATGGGGGCGGATGTATGCACACTCAGGCAGCTGCGTGGGCCTCAAGCTACAGCGTGATCCACCAGAGCCCGGCCCACAAGTGCTGCATGTGCCGTCTTGCCAAGGAGCTGCGGGTGAGGGTGGCGTGGGGGTTGGCACAGCAACCTCCGGGGCTGCAGTGCCCTCCTCCGGGCAAGAAGGCGCACACAGTGAACAGTGAGATGAAAGGAAAATGAGTGTCTGGTAATTGTATCCTTGAATGTAAGCCAATCAAGGGAGAGGCCGACTGGAGGGATACTTTTCCTTGCTGTAGCTTGGTCACATCCTCCACACCTATTTATTCTAATGAGTCCTTCCGTTTACGGTGGGGGATAACTACTCCAACCATCTGGAATCCCAATTAGCTCCGTTTGATTATTCTGGGTGCTGCAGCCCTGCAATTTTAACGGGATAATTGGGAATTAATTGGGACCCATCTCCTGGTTGGCTGGAGCCATACCATGGGTATGGCCAATTATGTGGGTACATCCTGGAAAAGCAAAAGGTTTGTGATCAGATTGGTTTCTCCTGCAAATACTGTGGAAAAGATCCTTGACAAACTTTGTCAAGCTTCAAGGCTCCAACCATTAAACTTGTTAAAACATTCCTTTTGTTTCTGATGGGCATAGAGGCTAGTCTGATGTTATGCATTGAACAGCCCATGGACTAAGCATGAAGAGCCATCCTGACCTTCTAAGAAGTAAGAAAGGGGGAAGTCAGGCGCTGGTGGTGCACATCTTTAATCCCAGCACTCGGGAGACAGGCAGGTGGATCAATACGTTTGAGGCCAGCCTGATCTACAAAGTGAGTCCTGGACAGCCAGGACTCTGTTACACAGGGAAATCCTGTCTCAGAAGAAGGGGCGGGGGGATGTGGAGAGTAGAGGAAGCCCTGAGTGGTGAATGGAGTCCTAAGTAAATGCTGTGCATATGGACACAGCTATATCAAGTCCCAGAGGGAAATGGCAAAGCCTTCTCTTCTGGTCCATGTGTGTGGAAAATAGCTTCCTCTCTGAGGGTGTTTATTGCCCTTGGTATATTATGATCCCCTACAGAGACTGGCTCTCTGAAGATTAGCTAAACCTGCTTCATTGATTCATCTGTACAGCATAAACACACCGCCCATGGCTCTTGGTGTAATTGCCACCTTGTTCAGCAGTGTGCAGTAACCCCATCTTTCTGTTTAGCTCTCTGTTATAACCCCCTTGAGCTTCCAGAGTGCTGACACCCTCCATCTGAGGGCCCAGACCACCTGACTCCAGTGTTTCTGTGTCTGTCTGTTTGTCTTTTCTTCATTCCTTGGTTGCCCCTCTTTCAAGTCCATCCCTGGACAAAATATACCAAGACTCATATAATTAAGATATCATCAGATGGGCTGGAGAGATGGCTCGGAGGTTAAGAGCTCTGGCTGATCTTCAATAGGTCCTGAGTTCAAATCCCAGCAACCATATGGTGGCTCACAACCATTTAAAATGAGATTTGGTGCCCTCTTCTGGTAAGCAGGTGTACATTCAGGCAGAACACTGTATACTAAGTAAATAAATATTAAAAAAAAAAGATATCACCAGACACAGAAATGCTTTGGAAGCTGAGAATTAAAGAGAGTGAGAGTGAGAGAGAGAGAGAGAGAGAGAGAGAGAGAGAGAGAGAGAGAGAAAGAGAGAGACAAAGAGACATGATGCCTATGTACCTAGCCTGGCTCTGAATAACTTAAGATGTGTTTAAACACCTCCTAATTCTTTGTATGGCCCTAGACATACCTATTCCACTATGTTACAAACCATTTGCAATCCGTATTGTCTTCCCTTATCCAGCTGGAGAATGCTCCCTTAAATTTCCATTGTAACACATGCCTTAGGCCAGAGAAACATATTTTTAAGTTACCAAACTCAGTCCTCTCCACCAGCATCACTTGGAACCACCAGTAGCTGGACAAATTTGAGTGTACTGCCTCATTGCATCAAGGTAGAACCTAGCCTGTGGCTGTTTGGCCACCTCTTTTTGTTCCCTATCAGGGGAGGAATACCTACCTTGCAGAATGCAAAATGGCCAAAAATCCAGTACTGGTAACATTGGATGAGAGTGACTGGCCTAGTTCATTAGTCACTTGTACTCACAGGCCCAGTGAGGACACGCAGCTGGACTAGGCTGCAAAGGGAACCAGCAGGTATGTAGGAGGCAGGCTTTGTGGTGAGTAGGGCATAATGTACCTCCAGCTTCCACAGAAAGATGAGATGGGTTGTTTCAATATTTCCAAGAGAACCCCAAAAATGAGATAAACAAGTTTGAGCGGAGCTAGTCTGACTGATGGAGATGCTAGCCAAACAGAAGCCTTTCCCCTTGGGTGAGCCATTTCTGTCAAGAAAAGTCAGGGGCCCTGTGTAACCCAATGTCATGGCAGCACTTGAATTTTCACATCTCAGAGCATAGCTGGGACCTTAGAGGCATTCAATAGAGGGTGATGGTGAGGTTTGGGAAATAGCTCAGTGGGTGAAGAGCTTCCTGGGCAAGAACATGATCTGTGTTCAGATCCCTAGCACCCATACATAAAGCTAGGCATGTTGGTATGTCTAACTCCAGCACTAGGGTGCAGAGATGAGCAGATTCTGAGGGCTTTGCTGGCCAGACAGATAACCAAGATCAATAAGCAGAATGTGAACCAATTCCTCAGTACACACACACATACACACACATGAACAATTACTCATTTATATCCAGGAGTTGGACGCCATTGTTCCTCCCCTGCTTTTGGACTCCCACGATTTATACCTATGCTTTCCCTAGTCAGGTTCTCAGGGGACCTTTGATCTTGGACTGAGTCTAAGAAACCATGGGCTCCTAAGATATGAAGTCTTTGGGACTTGGCCTAAGTCACACTGCCAGCATCCAAGGGTCTCCAGCTTGCATACATCAGTCATGTGACTTCAGTCTCCATAACCACCATCCCCTCATGTGTCTCCATTACATTCTGTTGTTTGTTTTTCTCTTTGGAGTACCCTAATAGACATCTTAGAAGAGATATGAAGCCACATGTTTTCCTTTTCTTTTTTTCTTATCTCTGTTTTTTTCCTTTGTTCTTGTGTTTTTTTTCTTTTTTTTTTTTTTTTGGTTTGTTTGTTTTTGAGACAGAGTTTCTCTGTGTAGCCTTGGCTGCCTTAGAACTCTGCAGATCACTCTGTAGATCAGCAGGCCTAGAACTCAGACATCCTCCAGAGTACTGGAGTTAAAGTTGTGTGTCACCTCAAGGGTACCGGCTGGGCAAAAGAAGTATGGTCACCTGGGCTACAAGATCATCCAGTACTTGAACACTAGAACTTCTTTCTGCCCTGCTTTCTCTCTCTACAGGAATGAGTGCCTGGGTATGGGTGGTGGTGTGTAGTGGAGGTTGTCTTTGACCACATCTCGAAGCTTAATTCTTCAGGCTCTTTTCTCATCCTCTTTCTTTAAAACCTGGGACCTTCTGACTCCACGAAAACTGTATTCTGTCCTGATTCCAGAGATTTCCAAGAAGCCAGCTGCCTCTCCATACCTCCCTATGTGTCACTTAGAGTCATAATCAGAGGGTTTGAATAAAAGGCTGCCATCCACTCCTGAAGCATTTGTCAAATAGTAACTGACTAGCTCCTCTGGGGGGACTCACCTGTGAGCACCCGCCCCACAGTGGGCTCTCGGAAGCATGCCCACTTGACCATGTTCTCTGGTGTCCTAGCAACCAGAAACTCTGATCTGAGCTCTGACAAGGACAGAGGCCATTCCTTGATGACCACTGTGACTTGATGCCCTGAGTCTTTCAGGACCTGTCTCTATAGCAGTTCCAATAACTGAAAGCCGCTACTTGTCCCTAAGGACGCCCAGAAGCCTTGCCATATCAACGCACCCACTGGCAGGATGAGTTTCTCAATTACATACACTGAGCTGGTCAGCATAGCCATACCACAGCGTGGGGTGGTAAATTTCAAAGCCCTTCACCTGCTGCTCCAGGGTATCCTGGAGCACATCCACATCGCTGACACCAGAAAGATCCTTTCAGGGGACGAGGACTTCCTTCAAAGTTCACAGGTGATCATTGTGCCCAGAGAAGGAGATGCCCAGCCCATTGTGAACCCTATGAAGAGACTCGGCAACATCTTTGACAATGTGATAGACCGTCTCAACAATATAGAGAGCAAAATGACCATGATTCAGAGCATGCCCACCACCTCAGAGCTGCTGGAGGCCAGCTTCAGGACCAACCGGCCTGTGGAGGAAATGTGGAACATAATCAAGCTCCAGAAGAGGGCCGAGGCCAACGAGGAAACCATAGAAAAGGTAAACCCCCTCTTGGAGAAGCGCTCTAAACCCCAGGGCTGCTCCTACACACCATGTCCCTTCTCCTCCCTTGAATTGGGATATATCCACTTATGGAGAGTAGGGGAAACTTTGTCAGACAGAAGCCAGGTTCCAAGCTTGCATCCTTGATTGTGTACTAAGGGAAGAAGCCAGACACAATAGACATTAATAAACAACAATAGGATTCTGTTGTTGCAAAATACCCAGAATAGGCAAGTGCACACGCCCAGAAGGCAGACTGGGAAGGTGCAGGGGATGGTAACCTGGTGGATATGAGGTTTCCTTTTAGAGTGATGAATTTGGAACTCCATCAAAGTGATGGATATTGAACTTCATCCATGGAGTCGGTACACTGAATAGTTTAAGTTAGCTAATTTGGACTGTGAAGATGGCTCAATGGGCATAAAGTGTTTGCTATATACGCATGAAGTCACCCTGAACTCATATAAAAGACAGACACAGTAGCCTGCTTCTGTAATTCCAGTTCTCTTTTAAAATTTATTCCTCTCCCTCCCTCGTGTGTGTGTGTGTGTGTGTGTGTGTGTGTGTGTGTGTCTGTCTGTCTGTCATGTACACATGTGTGAAGATACCCTTGGAGGAGAAGGTGTCAGATCCCCCTAGGGCTAGAATTATAGCTGGTTGTGAGCCACCCAACATGGGTACTAGGAACTGAAGACCTGTACAAGATCTTAATTGCCGAGATATCTTTCTAGGCCCAATTCCAACTCAATTACAGTGAGATGGGGGGGGGGGGTAGAGACAGGAAAATCAGCAGAAATCAAGGGCCAGCTAGCCTGCTGCACACAGCAGTAGTGAAGCTCTGCCTCAAACAAGGTGGTAAGATAGGGATGACACCAACGCACACAGCACGCGTGTACCCACACTCAGGCAGCGAAACACAAAGACTTTTCTGCTTATTTTGTTTTTAGGGTTTTTGTTTGTTTTGTTTTGTTCTTTTGAGACAGGATCTCTCTGTTAGTCCTGGCTGTCCTGGCTCTCTCTGTAGACCAGGCTGGCCTTGAACCCAGAGATCCACCTGCCTTGCCTCCTGAGTGCTGGGATTAAAGGAGTGAGCCACCACTGCCTGGCTCACACAAGTTTTTAAATGGGTATTTTTGGCTGAGGAAGCAGCTCAGTTCATAGAATGCTTGTGAAAAGTCCTTGATTGGATCCTTATCAAGTAAAAGCAGACATGTGGCACATGCCTGATGTGGGAGGTGGAGGCAGGAGGATCAGGAGTTTAAGGCAAGTTCCATACTAGCCTAGGTTCATAGGACCCTTTGTCAATTAATAATAGCAAAAAATATTGTGTCGTGTGACTCTTCAATTAAAAATGATGCTGGGTGGTGGTGGAGCACACCTTTAATCCCAGCTCTCAGGAGGCAGAGGCAGGCGGATCTCTGTAATTTCTAGGCCAGCCTGGTCTATAGCCAGGGCTACACAGAGAAACTCTGTCTTGAAAAAACAAAAATAAGTGAATGAATGAACAAATAAATAAATAAATGAGGACCAAATAAATAAATAATGAGGACCTAAATAAGGCATGACAAACTATGTATAGTGGTATTCACTTTTAATCCCAGCACTTGGGAGGCAGAGGCAGGTGGATCTCTGAGTTCAAGGCCAGCCTGGTCTACAAAGTGAGTTCTAGGACAGACAGAACTACAGAGAAACCCTTTCTGGGAAAAAAAAATTTAAAAAAGAACATCCGTTGATCTTGCAGAGGGCCTATGCTCAATTCCCAGTACTCAGATGGTGGTTCATATAACCCCTGTTCTGATGCCTTTTTCTAACCCCCGAGGGCAGAAGGCCTGAACATGGTGCGCATATAAACATATGCAGGAAAAGTCCCTACACATAAAATGAATAAACCTTTTAAAAAATTAAAAGGAAAGAGAAACAAAGCCTTCAAGATGGCTCAAAAGGTAAAGCTCCTTGCCACCAAGCTTGATAACCTAAGTTGAACCCCTGGGACCCAGATGGTGGCAGGAGAGAACTGCCAGGAGAGAGACTCTCAGGAGTTATCCTCTGACCTCCACGAGTTCCCCATCTCTGCGGGCACATGCACACACAGAGAATAAAAATTACATTAATTTTTTTTTAAAAGAAAGGGTAACATCCAGGCACGGTGGCACACACCTGTATTTTCCAACACTTGGGACACTAAGTCAGGAGACTCAGGTTCAAACCTAGCCTGAATTGCCCATCAGCCTTCTGAAGGGCCGAGGGTCTAAGGCAGTGGTAGCACACTATCCTAGCATCTCCAGTGAAGGACTGGCGGCAGCATGGAAAGAACTGGAACTGTCAGCCACTGCGGTGGGGGATGGAAAATGGTGCAGCTCCTCTGGGGCACAGCTCCCGGGTCCTCGTGAGGACCGTGTGACTGTGTGGTTCCACAGTCCCTCTCCTGGGCTTGAATTCAAAAGAACTGAAAACAGATTCAACCAAAAGCCTGCACACTGGTGTCCCTAACAGAAGCCACCGGAATGCTCTTCAGCTAAGGATATTTCTGCACTGACCCCACATCATCCTTTTTGAGACACATGGCCTTGAGCAGCTCAACCTTTCACTCCTGTTTTCCAGCCTGTGAAGTGGAGATAAGAGGTATATCACCTTCTTGAGCTTTTGGTGTGTAGAGGAAGAGTCCTTGACACCCAGCTGGAACGAAGGAAATACCAGGAAGGGAATAAACCCTAAGCCTTGAAAGACACGGGGTGGGGGTCAGGGGACAAGATGATAGGGTTTGGGCTGAGAAGGAGGGTGACGTTTTCAAGGGCCAGGAGCGAGGCTCCAAGTTAGGACTGAGTGAAGCCATACTGGGCACTGGGTTCAGGGCCCTTCTACTCGCCACTGGTCTTTGAACCCTGATGGTTAGAAAAACCCTACAGGAGAGAGACATAGGGAATTGCCTGCTCTTCTTATTTCCACTGTGGGGCAGAATACCTAGCAAGTCTCAGACGAGAGCCTACACTGGGCATCAACCAGAGGGGCTGCTGGCTCTGACTTAGGTGCTTTGGATGTGAAATCTTCAACACAGGTGTTTGTGTGATGGCAAAAACAATGTCCTCCCACCTCAGTATTGTGTGTCCTGTCTTACAGTTAATTTTATATAACTGCGTTGGTTTCTCTTAGTTTCATTCCTTGGATTAGGAGCTATCGTATAAATAATTGAGACTTGTTTATAATTGAGATTTGTTTATAATTTGCTTCACCACACAGAAACTGAGAAGTTATTACTCTATTGTTAATCCTCTTTACTAATCTGGTTTTCTCTCAGCATACATCCCAGGATATTTACACTTTGTAGCTCTCCTGCTGTGCTCTCTCTCCTGGACCTCTGCCTGTGGCTGAATCCCCTACTTCTTATCCTCTAACTCCTCCTCCCCTGTCTAGTAGGAAGTCCAGCCCTAGTCTCTCCCCTGCTCCGTGATTGGCTGGAGCTGCTTTATTGACATATCAAGGGACCATTGGGGAGCAGAGTTTATACAACACTGAGAAAGGAGATTCTCAGAACAAGGTTTGCAACCAGATATTGGAGGGGGGGGAATACAGAAATCAGCATTTGCATTATAAAATAACCTTATGTCTGCAGTCCTGGTTTTCTTGGGCCCTACACCTGCCCCACTTCTTCCCTCCTTTCCGCTTTATTCCCTGTCCAGGAAAACCGAGTGCTCACTGTGTGCTGTGTGAGCTACACACTGGCCCTGCTAGCACCTTTAAGCTCTGTAGCGCTTATTAACTCTACAAGGCATGTGTTATTAATTCCAGTTCTCAGATGGTTAGTTGATCCAATTGAAGAAATGGGGAGAGATCTCATCAGCTTTCAGCAAGTCCAAATTTCAGCTCACAGTCCATAGCTGATCCAGGAATAGAGTCAAACAGGTGAAAATCTGCTGAGATAAATTCAGGCTAGAGACAAAAGTTAATATTTGTCTATTAAATGGGAAAAGTGAGGAATCCCAAGACCAGGCAAAAACTCATCTGGGATCCATTTGAGCTATTCCAGATCCAGGTCTCAAGACCTTTTGATTTCCTGAAATTTTTGGTATACAAAAGGAAATATATATTTAGAAAAACTCAGAAAAGTAACATATCAGCAAATCTAATAAAACAACATTCTGAGAGTAACAGGTAAAACTACATCCAATGGAATGAGCATAAGTTAGCTGTTTGTTTTGTAACCTTTTATAAACAACTTAAGTGTGTCCACAGTCTGAAACTCTAACACTTTAACTGTGGTCTCTGTTGGTAATCAACCAAAGGAGCTCAGCCACCCTTTGTATATTTAGACAGGAATACATTCCTGGCTTTACTGCTAAACCCTGGTTGCTTGAATTTTTCTTAACAAAGCAACTAGAAGGAATATGTTTAAGATATTTCTAAATCCTGTCTACCTCAGAAATGGCAGATATTAAGAATACTATAATAAAGGCTATGGCTTTTGGGTCAGATATACACATTAAACAGATTTTTTTAGTATGATGAGAAGCACCTTTAAGTCTATCTCCAAAAGACAACCAAAGGAAATTAAAATCTCAAGCTGCTGACTGAATAATAAGCAGTCAGTGCTCCATCAACTTATCAGAACTCTATTGATCAATGCCAAAACTTTGAACTTCTTAAATCTTATAACAAGCACAACAGTAGCAAAGAGGGGAAGAAATCTAAAGTATCTCCCATTTTAATGTGCTTTAAAACATTTTTATATCTTTATAACTCATAATTATATATCTTAAAACATCAACTTAGACTCTCCAATCTTTTTTGCAATTATTAACCCTGAAACATTTTCTCAGACCAAATAACAAGCTAGATTTTTGTAACCTAAATTTTTATATTTTCATAAATCTACATAAATTCCTCATCTTTTTATCCAGCTATATATCTTAAGACACAGGCTACTGACATGAATCCTGTGAGCAAGGCAAACCTGTTTTCCTTTCTAAATAAGAGATCTAGTACCTAGTAGTTACCTAGTA